ATCGTCAAACAATGGCAGTGAACTGTTGCGTTGATTCAATAAATGTAAATAATCGTTGTGTATAACCAATCAGTTGAAAGACTAAAATGATTCTCATAATCAACATATAGTCTTGAGACATATAACCGGAAGCGTAACTAATGGTAACATCAAACAAAGGTAAACACCTCATTAGTCGTCACATTTACTCATCAACAACTAGGCGATGGCAGAGACCGGTATAAGCTATCACCTCATAATATCCGCATCTTATATAATCTATATGATGAGTAAACTTTCCTTCAGTTGGTAAGAGTTAGATACACTTACCTTGTTCTGAGTCTTCTGTGTCCACCTGACCGTGCTTGAACAATTACCAGGTTCCACAATAATCACAAGTTCACTTTACAAACACACTGTTATAAATCGCACTTATAATAGTCAAGAGACAAATTCAATGTTATCTAAGCTCATATATATAGTGCGTAACACATGTTTATTACCTAATGATATTGATCAGCGCACGACACCTCACCCTCCAACAAAAAACACTGACCGACTGGCCAGCTTCAACGAATCGCCCGCAGGCAGCAACAAAACCTTGCTATTAGAACCGATATTAAATTTTTTTGTTATTTTATTTTTTATATTCTTCTTGTCGTTAATATTGTTATGTTTTTAATACTGTTAATGTTGTTATTATTTTGAGTTTACTTAGATATTTTGGTCGAGGATGTTTTCATTGTTATTGTTTGTTACGGCCAATCGTTATTTCCTCAACACTAGGCTGAAGTGCTTCCCTGCGTTGTTTTATGTTTGTTAGGGCCACGGGTTTGATTAGTAAGTGTGAAACGAGTGGTAAAGCCTAGATTAGAAGGGTGGACCCATCCATGGAGAAGTAGGTTGTGCTCACCAGTAGAAACTGCCAGAGAATTCTTTCACAGTATTACTTGTTGCATATGTAGAATTCTAACAAAGCATCCCGATTATCCTCGCTGGATGCAAAAAGTGTACAAAGGTGTGTCCGTAGGTCTGTCCCTGGGTCTTGTCTTACCTGTAAGCAGAAAACGATCGAAAAACAGTTGTGATTCCTCGGGATACATAATGTTTACTTAGGAAAAGCCACCAGTCACATTTTTGAGGATGAATAAGAGAACAAAGATTTCTTCAAAAAGAGTATATTTTCATACAGTACAGACATGACCAGAACATAATTATTATTTACATCAGAATAACCAAATAAATACACATAACTATTAATTAATATTATCAATATCTATTCTCGAAGATGCGTACCACCGACGTCGCCACGGAACGAGAGAAGTGAGCTCCAGGCAAGACAACCAAGCATAGTCTCAAAAGCTCTAACAACATTTGATGTCTTGATTATAAAATTTCCATCCAGTAAAATAATTTTCGATTTCTAATTAAGTTCCTTGAATGACTTTACGTTCATTTTGTGTATTTAAATGATATATTAATTGGCAATTTTGTACTGAAACTAGACATGAGATGTGGTTCGAAGCTTCACAAGCTGTCTTTGAAACCAGGACTTTTTTTTCTGCCTGGAGCCGACCTCTGTACACTGGTGTGCAGAACATCGCTATCCACTGAGAAACACGTCACGTCATGACCAGGTGATGGAAAACATGAGGTGATGAGGATGAATATACATGGTATGAGATGAGTTAATGAATAAGAAAGGTAAATGTTTCTTTTTTCTACATAAGTGATTCCTAAGGGCACGACCTCTGTGTTTTGATGATGACGTAGTGATGACGCGTGGATGACGTAAGAACTGTGGGCGGTGTGAAGTGGAATATAATAACAAATAAAATGGCAATGTTAATAAAGAAAAACGTGCCATCATTGAAAGGAAATGGGATGAGGACCCCGGTCATGGTTACACATCCTTGCTCGAACAAACTGAGTTACCACAGGGAAGCCGAGCTTTCGGCGGTAAACAAAATATTTTTACTTGCTTTCTGTCAGGGCGCAGCTGTTGCATTCCGGCACCGGATATTCACTCCATGCGCTAACTAACCAAAATTCTCAAGTCATATTAACTAACAGCCAATCAGGAGAAAGTAAAGATCAGCACCAGGAGAGTTTTTAACCATTGAATGCATTGCTGGCCAGAGAACAGGATTTTGTATTTACCTTCGATAACCCAGCTACGGCTGGACATGGGCTACTAGTTGGTGCTTTGGTGGGTAGAGAGCAGCACCCGCTGAATTTAGAAAACGGGACGAGAAAAGGGATACTGTACCTATGAAAGAAATGTTTGTTTTTTTGGTGGTGGTGGTGGTGGGGGGGATGGAATAGAAATTCAGTAATTAAAATTTCGTTATTCCAAGTAATATATATTTAATTAAAAGACGATCCAGAAGAAAAATAATAATATATGATAACATGAAAATGTAAAATAAAACAATTGGCTCTTCAAGAAGTTTACAAGTTTACAATAATATTTATTCTTTTTTATGGCTCACAATTCTTATGCAAAATTATAGGAAAACGGACCAACGTGTAATACATCTTTCTTTTTTTTCTTTTCTTTTTTTTTAATATTTGTATGTAACCAAAAAACCCAACGCAGGAGGGATAAATGGGGACAGTTAGGAGTGAATTACCGGGATTATGTGGATTACTGTAATGTTATAATGTTCACAATATCACGCTGACCAATATCTGATGGTTGAATTATGTGTTTAAGTTTATATGTATTAGATGACAACAAGTGAGGTTGAGTTAAAACTGGATATAATGTGTTCCAGTGTCTGATTTTATAAGGAATACGATAGTAATTTTATACAGTTGATCTATACGACTCTGAACAGCCCGATATCATGTATACCAATAACTGATACTGTAATGAGGAAGAGTTTTGTGAGGATCTATTTTTATTTATTTTTGCTGTTTATGGGTTTAAAATTATGACGAAAACCTTGGGAACGTAGATGGGGAAGGGCGATAAAGATGTAACCAAAGAAGTGGAGAGCAACGGGGAGCGGTCGGGGCAGGGCGGGCGGGGCGGGGCCGGGCAGGGGTGCTGCCACCTACCACCAGAGCTCGGGTAAGTTCCGACACAGACAGGAGAGAGAACATTATAGTAATGCGAGGGTTGCGGTACCGGCGGCGCCAGGGATTACAAATAATCTGGGAAAAATATCCGGGGAAAAAAATCACACTTTTTTTCACTTTGAAAAAATATTATGTTTAGTTGTGAATCTGTATGAGAGCCACTGAGCCTCGATGGACAGATCATTGCTGACTCATAATAGGAGCAGTCGGAGTAGAGTTATTGTGTTGGAGGTCGCTGGCCTACCTGACACGGGGCTTATTGGTTTACTCTGGATATACTATACAGTATATCCTCAGTGCTGGGAGTAGTCCAAGACACGGTGTGGTGGTCTGATCAGAGATGCCAAGTAACAATGTTGCCACCGGTCGCCCACCCAGTAGCAGCCAGACCCGTGGTGACTAACAACTGGGCGGTGACCAGGGAGTTACCCAACACGGCCATTCTGTTATATATATATATATATATATATATATATATATATATATATATATATATATATATATATATATATATATATATATATATATATATATATTTGAATTTAGGGATATACATGTCTGCCGTCACCCCTGTAACCTCTGCCTCAGTAACACAACACCACAATGAAACATCTCAACTCACACTCATTATGGTAACAACTTTAACTTGTATCACTGAATGGGAGGTATACCAGGTGTGTCTTACAGTACCATGATGAGAGTGAACAAGACCCAGCTGTGTCCGTCTGTGAGACAGGTGATGAGAGGCTGGTCAGCTGGGACGGTTAGCACTCGGGTGAAACTGTGGGGGCGGGGCAGAGGTGGCAAGGGTTGGCGTCCTCGTCACAGATGGTGAACCTCATGTACTGGTGAACCGTGACGCCATTACTGATGCACCATCGAGTTATAACTGATGGCGAACCCTGAGGTCATCACTAGTAAACCCCGAGGTCACACTCGTGAATCCCGAGGTCATCACTAGTGAACCCTGAGGTGACACTAGTGAACCCTGAGGTTATCATTATTGAACCCCGAGGTGACGCTAGTGAACCCTGAGGTGACACTAGTGCACCCTGAGGTTATCATTATTGAACCCTGAGGTGACACTAGTGAACCCCGAGGTTATCATTATTGAACCCTGAGGTGTCACTAGTGAACCCTGAGGTGACACTAGTGAACCCTGATGTTATCATTAGTGAACCCTGAGGTTATCATTAGTGAACCCTGAGGTCATCACTAGTGAACCCTGAGGTGACACTAGTGAACCCTGAGGTTATCATTAGTGAACCCTGAGGTCATCACTAGTGAACCCTGAGGTGACACTAGTGAACCCTGAGGTGACACTAGTGAACCCCGAGAGTGACACTAGTGAACCCCGAGGTTATCATTATTGAACCCTGAGGTGTCACTAGTGAACCCTGAGGTGACACTAGTGAACCCTGATGTTATCATTAGTGAACCCTGAGGTTATCATTAGTGAACCCTGAGGTGACACTAGTGAACCCTGAGGTGACACTAGTGAACCCTGAGGTTATCATTAGTGAACCCTGAGGTCATCACTAGTGAACCCTGAGGTGACACTAGTGAACCCTGAGGTGACACTAGTGAACCCTGAGGTTATCATTAGTGAGCCCCGAGGTCATCACTAGTGAACTCTGAGGTGACACTAGTGAACCCTGAGGTGACACTAGTGAACCCTGAGGTTATCATTATTGAACCCCGAGGTGACACTAGTGAACCCTGAGGTGACACTAGTGAACCATGAGGTCATCACTAATGAACCCTAAGGTCACGCCGGTGAACTAGCAGGTCACACAGGTGATCACACTAATGAGGCGACCCAGTTGGGATGATCGATCTCTTTAGGTGATGAAAGAAGTCGTGTGCCGGAAGGAGTACTGAGAGGTCATGATCCACACCCAAACAGTTTCCGACATTCTCGTATCTTCAAATGCACTTAGGAGTTCCCGACCTGTGCTTAAGACGCCACCTGGCTGCAGAGGCCACACAGTGAACGGTCCAAGTTCTCCACATTGTCAAAGCTTAACTCTGCTCCACGAAATATCCAAGATATTCATTACAGATAAGAGTTTCAGGTCATTGTAGGCAAGTTTATTAAAATGAAAACAAGAAGACACCCAGAGAAAACAAAGCACCATAATATTTCCATTACACCCCGCCATCGGGGAGCCAGTGCCCTCTAGCGGTGCACTGGGAAACTACCTTAAGTAGAGTTCACTGGATTTTTTTTTTATTATTTATTAACGGTTAGTTCATGAGTTCCTCCAGAGGCCGCTACCCGCGCGAGCCAGAGGCCGCCAGGTAGCGGCTATGAGGTAAGACAGGCTTAGGTTACACATACACGCTGGTGAGAGCTTTGCTTCTCGCCCCAGGAGCTCCAGTCAGAGCCCAGCTAGTTCTCTTTTCTATACACTTCGCCGTGCACGCGGCGCACTAGACACCAGGGCTACTCACAGCTTCCAATTGGGGGTCTTCGTGTCAGCCATTTTCAATGTCTAGGAAGACCACCGCCACGCGAACATTGGGAGGGTCACGTATTTATTAGCCCTTTACGTAGCTTTTTGAAAGTTTCTAAAAGTATTAGTTTTTTCTTTCACGTTTATATAAACTGAACGCTGCCATGTCTCCATCTCGTTTCTAATCCATCTGTACATGTGACACTGTACACATAAACGGAACCATGGTCCACACGCACGCACGCACGCACGCACACACACATGCACCCGCAAAACAGCTGCTGTCGGTCCGCTCTTTGGTATATGCTCTACTAACAAGTAGTTTTACGGACTATATACACGTGCAATATACGACACACTCTGTCCTTCACGCAGCGCGGAACTGGGTTTTTGTGCACGTCTTGAGGTGTCGCACGTCTTATTTGCACTGGTAGCGATAAGCTGGGCGAGGAAGGGTCACCCCGGTGACCAGCCAGGACCCAGGAGCACAGCTTGGGCTCTGCTGGCGCTCATCTAGGTTACCCTGAGCTTGACCTGGGGGTCGTCCGGGCTCTCGTCCGCTCATATTGTTCACTGGGGTGCCGGCGGTCCCCAAGGGTAAGTGTGTGTCCTTAGGTCCCACACCGGCAGAGAAGGGAGGGGGCTAGAGGGGATTGGTGGAGCAGACCGAGCCGCCACTGAGGGCGTGGACGGCCACCAGGTGGGTGTGCAGGTGACCAGAAGCGGCCCTGGGGGCCCGCCCTCATTTGTCGGCCATTTTAAGCGGATCTGGTAAATCTGGACGACGGTCTAGCCCGTTCACCATCTTCTCGATCGACTTGAGTTCTGAAGCGACTGAGGCGGCGTGGGCGACTGAGGCGGCGTGGGCTGCAGAGCGGCGTACGCCCTCCTCTAGACGCGACCCCGCCTTCGGGCTCACAGCCTGGAATGCTGAGGATCCACCTAGCGTAGTCTCGCCAAGCAAGGAGGAGGAAAGCGTGGGCGTGAGACATGACGAGGACAGTGATGAAGACAACGACGAGGAAAGCATGGAGGAGAGGGATGCGGCGGTGGAGGAGGGCAGGTAGGGGGTAAAGCGAGGCGGTTTGAGGCGGTCCGGAAGAAGAGGCGAAGGGGCAGCTGGTGAGGAGGAGGTGGGCGGGGCGGCGCTGAGGGACCCACTGCCACACCCGCTCGCCGAGGAGACTGCCAGTCCTGCTAGGCTCTGATAACTGGGTGACCCTAGCAGGTGGTGGCCTGCTCCTGCCAGTAGGTTGTGGGCCAGCAGGAGGTTATGAGCCACAGGTAAGGAAGTGGGCGGGGATGAGAGTGGCGAGGACCCGTGAGGCGGCGCTCCCCCCGACCCCAGTAAGGGCAGTTGTAGATTGTGATGGCCGAGACCTGTACTGGAGGACCCGGGCATCATAAGGCCGTGTAGCCCCGCCAAGCTCTGTGCCGCTCCTGGGTATAGTCCGTGTGGGTACAGGTAGGGCAGGAGGTGGGGAGGCTGGAATGGCGGACCTAGACTGATGTTGGGAGTCGGGTCCGAACACGAGGAACTCGACGGCTCGTCTTTTTCTGGCGCTGCCTTCTTCAGGGCCGCCAGCGATGATGTGTCATCCATGTCAGAATCCAGATCGCTCTTCCGTTTGACGGAATCTCGACCAGAGTCGTCGGCTGCGTTGTTGTTGGTCTCCTCTCCCGACACGTCCGAGTCCATTAGTTCTATCGGAACAGACACACAATTAACATTACACTTCATAAATCACCGCTGCCTCAGAGCATCATCTTATACATGAGCCTAAGATTATCAATTTAAAGTCAATGTTTACAACTTACTTCCCATCATATGTATTGTATATATCACTGAACAGGTCAACTACGAGACATGCCATTCATTCTCCGCCACCACGTGCGAGAGGTACTAACCGTGTGGCGCGTCGCTGTGGGAGTCCGTCGTCCCCACCACATCTAGCCGCTCGTCGTCGTCATCGTCGTCGTCCTTATGGTTTTCGGACTCCATGGGTGCCGAGTTATCAGGGTAGCTGCGGATGTTGGGGAGAGCGATCTGGTGATCAATCTTCTGTTCTTCAGAAGACCGAGACATCACCACGTTCCTGCAAAATGAAGAACTGCAAAATTTAGTCCAAAATCTGCATTGTTATGATGCAGAAGAGACTATGATGGGACGGAGAGGAGAGAGTAATGTGAGTAAATACCGAGAAAATATTAAATCTATGTTATACATAGTGACAATTGCTGTAAATATGGAAAATAAAAATGATGTGAACATAACGTGAATTCTTTCTTTGGGTTAAAATCTAGAGAATCAAATCTAAATACCGACTTTGTTGTGATTTTTCAAGTCAATAGGATTTTGTAACAGTAACATTCATGATAATAATGACACAGAGAATAAATAAATAAACTGTATAATATTTGTATTTTTCTATTTTTTCGTAGACTACATCATCATGGTAGCTCAGGCACATTCCTCTTTATACCACTATATAACTCGATAACTCACTCAATTATTTAACTCTTGGTGGCTAGTCATGTAATCTTTCCCCATTTATTCCCTCAGATTCTTTCCCTCGCTCCTTCCACCTCAACACTTACATTCTCCCCTCATACACATTCTCACGCTTATCATTCCCTCGCCTTTTCGCCTACACATCCTCCCTATACATTTCTACATCTACATTCATCCTTTCTCTTCCCTTCCATACACCTTTCCATCTCTACAATCATTCTCTTCCACACACACTTCTCGTAATAACCTCCCTACCTACATTTTCGCCTCCCTCACCCATCCTCCCTCCCTCCTCCCCAGCTAGGCTCATCAGCACCTCGCCTCACCGCCCATAACCACTCTCGCTATCGTCACCATTTCCGGCTTGGCCTCCCTCCCGGTCTTCTCATTATCTCGGGCCAGGTGTGAGTTCTGCCGCCTCTGATCCCCAGGTAGGCCGCCCAGAGAAGTGCATCAGCGTCAGTAGCCTCAGGTAGATGAGTTAAAAACCCACCGCCATTCAGGTGTGAAGATCCCCCAGCAGGCGGTTCCTCAGTGGCCCAGACTAACAGTGACAATAATAGGTACTGAAGGGAAGAATCCTCCTAATTTCAGCTCATCTGCAGTTACGTTTCTATTATAGGTAAGAGACGCCCAGTGTGAGATCCCCAGCAGGCGGTTCCTCCTTAGTCTGAACTTCAAGTGGCGAAAGCAGATACTGATGACCAGAGCTTCCCTTAGCGGTTGTGTTTGTGTCTAAGTGTTACTTAGGCTACAGTGAGCAGTGAAGCCCCGAGTTGTAACTGAATCAGGCTGTTTATCCGCTCAAGCTACCACGCCTCCTCTTACACATCATGAAGCGATTACAAGACGTTGCCAAGACTTACTGAACTAGCGAACAGTGAACGCATAAATATTCAACCACAGTAAATATCGCAGATAATTACTAACACATATCAACACTTGTCACCCAGGAGGTTAATTATGTAAATCAGATATAATAACTAGTTCTCGGGAACACTAACTGAGGCAGATATACCAGCACCAATGATAACGTATCGGCAGTAATGGTATAATATTCTCTATGATACTGTTAATAAATACTGATAAAAGACTAATACATTTTTATATTTAGTTCCACAACAGATTAATGTTTGCTACACGCCTGCTGGAGGAGTGTCTTGTGAACAGCTCCTGGCGTCACTATCACTAACACGGTTCAGTTGTTCTCCACTAAGACATATGTCTGACGCTCGCTAAATTTAGATCTTCCCTCTTGAAACATATCAAAGTGTGTGTGTGTGTGTGTGTCGGAAGTTCGCCTATAATTTAAACTCATTTATGTATAATTCAGGTAATCTATACAAATAGTTTTGGTATTATGTCGACAATCAATCGGGTTCTTTACAAATTATCTTAGAAATATTGATGATTTGTTGATATAAAATACTAAAAATACCTCGAATTACATGTCAATTTCTTTTAAGTGATACTCAAAATATACTCAACTATATGTTTCCAGAGAGAGCGTAAGGGAGACGGTGTTAGTTAAGCTCACTAGCAGGTGGTCATCAAAGGAACGCCGTGGTGACTTACAGAGAGGACCCCCTGCTGTAAACACGACCTGCCCTTATTCAGCAGCACCCGGTGGACTTCCGCGACAGCCCTCATGCCCTGTGTGTGTGTGTGTTTGTGTGTGTGTGTGTGACCTTCCTGCCCCTACCTAACCCCTCACCCCTCCATCCCTCCCCTCACACCTCCGCCTTCCCGTCTCTACCTTCTTCATTCTATCCTCTACCCCTATCTTCTATCCTCCACCGTATTCTCCATCCCTCAACTCCCCCTCCATTCTTTTACCTGTTTCCTTTTCCTTTCTATCCATACCTCATCCCTGCCATCATTCCTCACCCCTGCCACCATTCCTCACCCCTGCCACCATTCCTCACCCCTGCCACCATTCCTCACCCACCACCATCCCTCACCTCCGCTACCATCCCCACCCCTGCCACCATCCCCACCCCTGCTACCATCCCTCACCCCTGCTACCATCCCTCACCCCGCTCCATCCCCCACCCCTGCCACCATCCCTCACCCTGCCACCATCCCTCACCCCTGCCACCATTCCTCACCCCTGCCACCATTCCTCACCCTGCACCATCCCTCACCCCTGCCACCATCCCCCCACCCTGCCACCATCCCTCCCCTGCCACCATCCCTCACCTGCCACCATTCCTCACCCCTGCCACCATCCCTCACCCCTGCCACCATCCCCCCACCCTGCCACCATTCCTCACCCCTGCCACCATTCCTCACCCCTGCCACCATCCCTCACCCCTATACCACCATCTTCACCCCTGCCACCATCCCCCACCCCCGCTACCATCCTCACCCCTGCTACCATCCCTCACCCTGCTACCATCCCCCCACCTGCCACCATCCCCACCCCTGCCACCATCCCTCACCCTGCCACCATCCCTCACCCCTACTACCATCCCCACCCCTGCCACCATCCCCCACCCCTGCTACCATCCCCACCCCTGCTACCATCCCTCACCCCTGCCACCATCTCCCACCCCTGCCACCATCCCTCACCCTGCCATCCCCCCACCCCTGCTACCATCCCTCACCCCTGCTACCATCCCTCACCCCTGCTACCATCCCCACCCCTGCTACCATCCCCCACCCCTGCCACCAACCCCCACCCTGCTACCATCCCTCACCCTGCCACCATCCCCCACCCCTGCTACCATCCCTCACCCTGCCACCATCCCTCACCCCTGCCACCATCCCTCATCCCTGCCACCATCCCTCACCCTGCCACCATCCCTCACCCTGCCACCATCCTCACCCCTGCCACCATCCTCACCCCTGCCACCATCCTCATCCCTGCCACCATCCTCATCCTCCTGCATCCCCGGGCGCCGCCGTGTGACTGCCTGGTGGAGGTGTGTGGACAGAACTGATCGCCTCTGCACCATACAAACTATATTTATCCTCCCCATCAGACGACCTCCTCATCCCGCCTGCAGGAACCATCTTCAGTCAAACCTTCAGGGGTGAGTACTTGGACCTCGTCTGCAGGAAGGACCTTGACACTGCCCGTCCAGATGCTATTTAAGATGACCGTGTGTCCTTTGATAGGTACCTTAATATACTTAAAAATATGAGTCTCCCAAAGAAGTGATAAAAAACAGCTGGTATGGAGCATTACAACCTATCAAATACAACCTGTTAAATACAACCTCCTCCTCGTCTACCCCACCTTCTCCTCTTTTCCCCTCCTCCTTCTTCTCTACTTCTCCTCCTCCTCCTCTACCCCCACCTCCTCCTCCAGATGAAGCTAAGTGACCAGAGACAATAAACCAAGGTAAGAGGTTCCTCCCAAATCCTCCTAAATAAATCAATTTTCAGAGTTCCTTCACACAGGTGCCGCCGACACCCACACACACAGACGACCTATTCATAAGTAAGGAATGGGAGAGGTGGGGGGAGGATGATATGAAGAGGGGCAGGAAGAGGGTGATAGAGAGTAAGAAGGAAGAGTGTTAATGAAGAAGGAAACAATGAGTAAATGAAACTAATTACCCATATAAGATTGAGGGGAAACTAATCACATTTTTGTATTAATTGAAATGGTAAATGGTCTGATATTTCCACCTAATACATCCCAGAAGATAATCTCTCTCTCTCTCTCTCTCTCTCTCTCTCTCTCTCTCTCTCTCTCTCAGCAGCCAGCATCTTGACCTTGATCTAAATACATCTTAAAACGAAAACTCACCATAATAAAAGAAGTTAGTGTAGGAGAAAACTTCAAGTGATGCCATAGTGTTGGGTATAAACTAAATGTGATGAGTGTTCGTGAGATAAATGTATAAAGAAGGATTTTAAGTAACACAATAGAGTAATAAGCTGACAACATTATCTTCTTTCCCTGGATCATCATTCCATTCCTTCATTTCCTTTCTTCCTTCCTCTTTCCTTCCCTTCTTCTCTTCCTTCCTTCCTTCCTTCCACCCTCTCTCCCCTTCTTCTACTCCTTTTCCTCCTTCATTTCCTTCCTTCCCTTATTCTTTCCTTTTCTCCTCCCTCTCTCTCCCCTCTTCTTCTACTCCTCCTTCCCTCCCTCCATCCTTCATTTCCTTCCTCCCTCTCTCCCTTCTCCTTCTCCCCTCCCTCCTCTCCATGGTATTTCAGTATCACCACTAAACCAACGACACGGCCGCTGTTGGTGTAAATTCGTCACGTTTTCCGGACATTGTCTCTTCTCCCGTAATCAGAATACATGAAGATCTACACGTGATATATTACCCTGAAGTTTCACTGTGCGAAACGTTTATCACTGAACCACTTATGGCCGAAGATTGGTGTCGTAATTATACCAAGATTATTGCCGTAACTAGAGAGGAAGAGAGAGAGAGAGAGAGAGAGAGAGAGAGAGTAAGCCGGTATCGTCGTCAGCACCACCTACAGGTACAGTAACATGGCGACAAGTCTGATTTACGTTCTCCTCCGTCAGCCGTGGAGGAGGGAGAGGGTCAGATATGAGGGGAGGAGAGTCAGATATGGAGGAGGGAGAGGAGAGGAGGTCAGCTATGGAGGAGGGGA